GCGTACAGATTTTCTATTATTACATGTTCCTAGTATATACGCATAAGTGGGTCCAAACCATCTAAACAATCGTATTAGGTACTTACTTACCCTTACGATATACACGTCAGTACCTATACACAAAGAGAATTATTTTACGCATTTGTAAGATGTCGCGAATGGAGGAACGTGAAACGATTTCTATATAATTAAAACGTATATTTGCAACGGGAATGTGCCCATGGTACATGAAATAAAGCGCCTCTGATACAAGTGGCTTTGCATTGACTGTTTAAAACATGAAATGTGAATATGTCGTTTCATGGTTTAATAGAGGGCAGTAGTGTTGCATGCATAAAATTTCATTCATCATCACATCAATAGCCTTTAATATTCTCCTGCTGGACATGGGCCTCTCCTTAGAACGGAGGTTTTGGCCTACCATACCACTGGCCAGACGGGTGGTATAGGGTTTTTGTCAATTTTTCCTTCTCTTCGACTTTATTCAGACGTCTCTCATTCGTTCTTTTAATGGGCCAACGTATAAACATTAAATAATCCAATTGCGATAAACTTCCGTTCGTCATATATGTAAAAAAAGTTGTGTGTGTGTGTGTATAAATTTTATCTTCACATATTAATATTTAGATAATCCCTAAAGGTAGTAATTAAACTACTTACTTCTACAGTCTTATGGCACATAGTCATAACACTGAGAATAATATGTTTGTTTATTATACTTGTTGCGATACGTGCCGGTGGTGTCAATCTTGTTGCGACATGTAGAGTTGGGGTCAATACCAGACATAGAAATTATTGCTAGTTTTAAATCGCAAGTAAATTAGTCACAGGTGTGATTATATGACATGTAAATCATATGATTTAACTCAGGTGATTTTCATTTTATGCCATTCTTAATCAATACATAGACATATGCAACTCAAGAGATACAAATCTGTTGCCATTCTGTGTAGCCCTCTGGGATTAGGGGGGAGGGCAATTAACATCATTTACTCAGTGAAAAGTAACAAATGAATTGCTTAACATCCGTCTCCTGTCCAGCCGGCCTATATGCGCTGAAGCATGGCTCTCCCACGGTAGACCTGCTATATATTCTGATATGTCATTACATATCACACACACATCCTTTAACGGTTCACTGTTGGACATAGGTCTCTCCTTAGAAAGGAGATTTTGGCCTACTATACCACGTTGGCCAGATTTGTGGGTACAGGATTTCTTTAGGTTTTTCTTATCTTTGCAGTGCTGTTGTTCTGCGTATATTGCTCCCTTAGTCGACACCTACTTACGACACTCACGGGATGACACTCCGTATTCTTCGATATGTGCTATTCCGAAATACTATGTGTCAAATTTCATCGAGATTCGTTTAGTAATTCTGGCTTGATTGAGAACAAATATTCACCTTTTTTTTTTTTTTTTCCGTGCGGAAATCCCCTCGGATACCACCTGTCGGACATGTCGGACTCGAACCGACTAAAACCGCACGTCGTCGCCGGGTACTAATAGCCGGGGAACCAGGTATACCCTAGAAAGGAAGTCCCTGGTGCCCCGACATACCTCGGGTCATCTACAGACGAGTAGACGACCCCCCCCCCCCGTGTGGGAACCCCATGTTCCCTGTGCTCCCTGGAAACAAATATTCACCTATCAAAATTTTTACGTTTGAAGTAAGATAGATAAATTTATAATCAGACATTTATAGTAAAATCTAAATGAATGCTTATCGTTTTGATAACCTTATAAACTTTGTCATGATTTATACTATCTGGAAATAAAAACAACTAATTTTGCGTGATTACTACAAATGTCATATATCTTATACTAGCTGACCCGCGCAACTTCGTCTGCGTCTCTCAATAGTAATAAGTTTTCTTCGTTTTTGAAACATTCTTCATTGGTGCTCCGCTCCTGTAGGTCTTAGCGTGATGATATATAGCCAGAGTATATGATTTTTTTTAATCGGACCAGTAGTTCCTGAGATTAGCGCGTTCAAACAAACAAACAAATAAACAAACAAACTCTTCAGCTTTATAATATTTTATCTTATATAATTTTTTTATAATATTATACAAATTACATATTATGTACAGTGAAATTAATAATCATGGTTTCTGTTTATATATTGTCTGAACAGTTTTTTTTAAATTTAGTTATCAATAGATACTCTTTTGTATTTAATCTTGATTCGAAAGAGAAGTGCAGAAACTTAACATTTTTGAAGAATAAACGCCATAAAGTTGAAAATTATGTAAATACGGCCACATAAATCTATACGGGTCTTGGTAGAAAGTACAATGACAGTTCAAGCAATAAGTACTGGTTAATAAAATAAAAAAAGACATTCAAAACGATCTCAATTCGACCGCCAAGAGGTTTGAAACTAACAGTAATTGAAATGACTTTACATTTGTATCAAAACATATACACAGTTAATCTGTACTTATGTCAGAAATATCTCTTATCAAATAATGAAAATATTGAATATAATTTCGAAAAGATTTTCTGACCGAAGATTTTATATTAGGGCCATATTTTATTACTATATTTGAATCGAATGCCATCTCGATTTATTTATTTGTCGAGTAACCGCAGAGTCAAAGTATATTGTAATAATGCTTAGTTATGAAAAAAGCCTGACTGAGTTTTTTTGGCGTCTTCTAAGTTAGTTGCCTGTTGGAAGCCCTAGTTAAAGCACAAAAATACGTATTTTATTTATTTTAGAATAGTATTTTTTATTTGAATTCGAATTTTAACATTAACTTTCAAGCTGATGACTCACTAGTCACCAAGACCCACCCGTCGCTCCCTTGTCAGTACCAGACAACATTAAACGCAGGACGCAATAAAACTGAAGGACTAATATTTTCTATCCCCAATGTCTATCGTCTGGGGATGACGCATCAAAGCCTGTTATTACCCATAACAACCTAAAGCTGACATGAAACTCCGTTTGTCAACATGCTGGGCTTAACCTAATCTTTAGAATACAAAAAAAAAACTGTCGTCTAACAAAAATTCAACAGGAATAGTAATGTGGCGATTTAGGGGTCCAAGAAATTAAGCAACAAAAAGATTGGGAAATGGTCTGCAGTAAGACGCCATATTGAAGTTGGACTTGGCATGCCGCAGCAATTTGGGTGTCTCGTGCAATGCAATTAAGTTATATAGTACGTTTATTTTATTCCTGTCCTACCTACTATCCTGTCTCCGTATGTCCTTTTGCTCGTATGCGTAATCTGTATACTGTAACAATCTGTATAGATGTGCTTGCAAATCGAAGTGACACATAAAGCGACTTAGTGGCCAACAGCTGGACAAATTTTTTTTCGACGCTTTCATAGTTTTGACATTCAATCTAGAAATATCTATGATCTAAGGTCATAACTAATAAAGTGGTAGTAAAAAATAACTCTACGTCTGTTTTTCATTATTATTATGCACATAAATAATGAAATTCAAAAAGCAGTTAGCTATTTGTGTAATATCTAATAACTATATAAGAAAATAACATAATAAAGGTTTGACACATTTCAGTGACGCAATTATATTCAAGACTGCGAATATCAATGTAATGCGGAATTAACTTTGTAAATGAACGTTTTTTATGTACGTCTCGCTCAAGTGGGTCTCGAAATTATTTTTATTTTAAACAATATAATAGATAGAAGTAAGAAATTACTCGGTATTACATTAAGATATTATAACCGATGTAATAACAATGGAAACTATTTTTCGGTGATTTATTATGTTGTGGCCCAAAATTATGACTGCTGAAAGATTTTTTACATCACTTTGTTATATCATCATCAACAGTCTTTAATAGTCTACTGCTGGTCATAGGCCTCTTCTTAGAAAGGAGGTTTTGGCCACTATATCTATACCACGCTGGCCAGACGGATTGGTATAGGGTTTGTTTCAAGTTTTCATTCCTTGCTGTTGTCCTGCGTAGTTTGTTCCCTTAGCCGGCTCTTACAACACTGGTGACATTTCGTATTCTTAATGCATGTAATGCACCACACGGATTATTATATATGTAAGATAAAGCTCATCACACAATATTTTGGGAATGGAACTCACGACCTGTGGCTTAGCAAGCCGTGTCACTAACCACTAAACCAACAAGTCTGTCTTCTAAATGCAATTCAGAAGAGTATTCTAAATGCTGCATAAATTTCATCTTCTACTCAAATATAGTTGTTGTATTATTTCGCATATTTAAATTAATATATTCCGTTTTTTATTGTTTATTTGTTTAAACGCGCCTATTTCTGGAACTATCAGCGCGTATTATTATTAATTGGTGGCAAAACTGGTGGTTGTTAGTAGGTGTTCTTTTCATGTATGCTTGTAATACCCCCCGCGACACATGATTTATTCCTAGTGCGGGAGATTTCTTTTTATATAAAAAAAAAAATAAAAAGCCAAAAAATTCACTTGGTACGCACAAAACGATTTTTTACGGTATAGGGATCACCTGATAGTAAGCGATTATAGCTGCTCATGGAAACCCTTAACTCAAAAGACATAGAATCCGATCCTAGAACCAGGCGGAGGGTCTATTTGGGCTTCGGTAACCTAACTCTCTGTGAGGCTGTAATATCTATCCGGTCGAGCCCAAACATTTAAAATATGGCTCTACCACTACCACAAAGGAGAAAATGTCTCAGGCATTAAGTCCGTCAGTAAGTGATTGAAATTTGTGCATAAAGTATTAAATTATTAAAGATTAAATAGACATTAACTGAAATAGCCGTATTAGTGGCAGCGGCATGTGGCACGTTAAGATCTGTTATCGATGCCCGAATTATTTATCAACGACAGATACTTGACAAAATGAATCTATTATTTGGTGCGGTATTTTTATCAGTAAAAGATAAACCAATGTCCTACAGCTATTATGGCCTTCTCATGGTTACGATCCTCACGTATTTCGAACTACAGTTTTGTAATATTTTTTTTCTTCGTGAATTAAAATGGCAATTTTGGATACTTTTCAGTTGACAAATCAAGTGGACAAGTTGAGACAAGTCAGTCGTGATCTTCGGAGGAAACATAAGTCGTTACAAAATCAGGTGAGTTATTTTATTTTATAATACTTAGATATTTAGGGTAAGCCAGTAATTTAACGCCTGTACCAACAATTGTTTTAGTAGAGTAGAAAATGCTTAATAAGGTGTAACAGAAAGCTGTGGTTATATTTTAATCGCATAGAAAGACTCCTCGAATGATGCATGACAAAACTAATGGTTTTAGAAAAAAAGGATTTTGACAGGACTGTGTAAGTTGTTTGTTTTTTGTATGTTTATATGTATATTTCTTTGGCTAATTATATAGCTCAAAGGATTTGATAATTTTTGTAGAGAGTTACTCAGGAGTACATTAAAAATTAAAAATACCGATTTTCGGTGCCATCTTTTTTCTTTAAAACCTATCGAGTGGGTTATTGAAATTAAAAGTTTCATAAATATCTTAGAAAACAGATATAACTGTCATATTTAAATATAATTTAGGACGAGAAATTGTTAAAAAAAGGATATATTTATCGTTAACAAGGAATCACGACGTCACGATTTCTTTTTCAATAATTTGCTTGTCAAGAAAGACAAATTAAAACCTAACCCCCGTCAAATGAAGGTATAACGAAAGCCATTTGAAATTATTTCTCTGGTTCTAAAATATGAACGCGAACTTCTGTAACCACCTTCAATAAAACTATGCATATAACGACGGCTTTATGTCTTAGTGCTATTTAAAATATGGTAAACAGGCAAACTAACTGAACCTAAATAATAACCGCAATCGCATCACTTACACGAACACGCTTTTACACCGTCCTTTATTTATTTTTAATGTTGTGTCTAATTATAGATTAAGAAATTGAATTTTAACCGTAACGGTTGAATAACTTTAAGGTCTAGGAATACCTAGGATCAAAGGTCTCTTTCTGTCACCGTCTGCCTTCGTTTTTCAGAATTTTGTTTTGGGTGGTGTGATATTTTTTATTTCATTTTACTTTTTCTTTATCATTTGTTATTTCACTTTATATTTCACATCCATCTATTCGATAGTTTTACGCGTCAACTTCCATACAAACAATTTTCACCACATTTTACATATCCGCCAGCGTCTCATCTCATGTTCTTTCCATGATAGTTTATTCCCTACCCTGAAGTTTTCATCCACTAGATATATACATTCCTCCATCCTAGTCTCACGGCACATCCACGTCATCGTTCTCATTTTATACTAACTTTTAAAAGTTTCCCGTTCCATGATACATGCCTTATAATTATTGTACATCACGTACGGGAATAAACGCTATCACGTAATAGATATTACATTCCTTTGGTTCTAGTGTGGGTTTATTTCGCAACTACTCAATGGCCGCGTTTGGCGTTAAGATTGGCCCGCACTGAACTCTTCAGAAATTCACACTAAGCCCTCAGATATAGTTTTTTTTTTAAAGACAACGCATTAGGAAAATATCCTGTGTCGCGGGTGACTTTACAAACATACATGAAATGGACACAAAGAACACCCAGACTCAGAACAACAATTTGTGGATCACACAAAGTGTCGTCCCATGTAGGGTTTGAACCCACAACACTCGGCCTAGTATGATGAGCCGTGGCGACCGCTTAAACCACTACGCAATCCGTGCAGTCAGTTGATAGTCGTATGCATCACATTTTGTATAAAATATACATGTCATCAATCTCTTATCATTGTTATGCAAATAACTTTTAATATTCAGCTATGGTTAAAGAGTTGGGATAGTAAATCATATGAAATGAAATGTTATTTATTTCTGCAAGTAAATCTTATCAAATATTTTTAAAAGTTGGAAAATATTCATAAACGATATGGTTCACTAACTTAATCATTTCGACGGTATTAATAGACAATATATACTTATGTATGGACATCGTAGGAGTGTTCGTGTTACGGCTGTAAGTGATTGCTTATATAAACCAATACTTACGTTCATCAATACGTTCATGATGGTTGTAAGCAGATTAGACTGGAAATTATGGTCAGGTCTCTAAAAGGTGTTTCGCCAATAGAATCATGGAATGAACGTTGCCGTCGAGACGTTACTAGTTAGAATTTAACCGTATACTTAATAATAATAATAGTTTTGGACATCTGACAAACAACGCCATCTAGTTCCAAACTAGACAGAGCTTGTACTATGAAAGTATAATACAGTCAACACGCTCTTTGAACGAATATTTAAGTGAGCTGAGCTTCAAAGGATTCTCTTCTCCTTGGACTTAAACGTAACTTAAACAGAAGTAGAACCAAAGAATTGCCTAACACAGATTTTTTAGAGGCCTTATCACTGCGATTGACCCAGGTCGAGCTTCCATGTTTAAAGACATTTATAAAGGCATTTTGCCAAGTTATACATTTTACCTACATGATCCACCCCAAACATTATATACAGTAGTATCATGTGTACCAACAAATGATGCGTAAACATCGACTGTTAAAAATATGATTTCGTCATTAGTACGCATGGCTGCCGGATTTGTAAGTATTGTGAATTTTGTGTATGTACATGTTATTTGGGTTACGGAGTACATAGTATTTTGTACAAAAGTAGGTCTTCGAACTGATGTTTTTTCGTAAGTTGATATTGTAAGTACGACTGGATTATTTTGGAAGTTGCTTTATTTTTTAATCGTTCGTGATAGACGAAATTCAATTTACGTTAAGTAAAATATTAAAGATAAGGTTTCTTTAGGATTTAATATGTAATTTTGGACATGATAGCATTTGTCAGCTAGTCTAGAGATTTAGACGAGATCATTATTCCTAGTGTCTGATAAAAATGCCTAAATTATGGTTACTTCTAAACTGTAAGAGACAGATAACTTAGAAATAATGCAGCATAAAACCGGTGTATGGAAATGGACCACAGATAATGAGTCCTCCTATGTCTGTCATGTAAGTTTAGTTTCTCCCTCTGTATTTTCCAGCATCTGCCTGATGGCACGGATCGGATTATATCGGGGTATCTGTTAGAAAATTTATTGCCCGAACAAAAACCTGAGGTATGTACCTTACCAATACGCTTTGCCAAGTGAGGGTGTACAGCATGCTTTACTAAAGGAGAAGTCGGTGTTCCAGGGAAAATGTTGTTTGTCTTTCCATAAGCTGATATACATTTTTCCGTTCTGTGCATGTGAACTTTGTTATCATGATATTTATACGGTCTACGTGCCTAACAAAGTATTTCCCATACCATTAAAAAAGTGAAGGATAATTTTTTGTATTTGTCTTTTTAACTTAATTAAAAAAGTGAAGGATGATTTCTGTACTTGTCTTTATAACTTTATTATTACTCCATATCATCGTAACAACCTACGAGATAAATATTTTGGTTAAATAAATAACTTTATATTTTCTATTGTCCATTTCATTAAATTGTAACTAAATAAACTTAACTATTCTCTGTACATACCTTGTATTTGACGTGCCTGTTTGTCTATTCTGAGTGCAGCCAGAGGTCTTGGGTTCGATTCCCATCCAGGTAAATGATTTTGTGATTTTATAAAAAAAAGGCCTATATGAATTTGTGAAGTGCTTGTTTCAGCGATGTGTTTGTTGCGGAAAATAATTTTCAATGTTTTTGTTTGTATAACGCTGCATTGTGCTCCGATATTGCCCTTTAAGATCTGTTGCCATGTATGGCTTTCGCGTGTGTTTACAAAATAGCAAAATCCAAAATCTAAATTTAATCTTTTAAGTGCTTTTAAATATATATTTCTTTCTTTTCAAAATATAGCTCACATAGACGTATTTATTTATTTATCTTCAAAAACGGCTAAAGAATCTTGATGTTCTCTATAGGAGAAATTTGAACTAAATCCAGTTTGATTTAGTTGAAAGATTAGTGGTACTAAAAGGAATTCTGTTAGTTATTCTTATTATAGTTAAACCGCCGTAAGCTTGGCCCTCCTGATGGTTTGCGGGACGCGGGGCGGGTGATGCGCTCGGCTATACATGACACGATGTACTAACTCGATATCTTCAGATTTATTTGTTTGAGATTTAATCTACACACGATGTAATAAAAATCGAATTTATTTCCATGTATTATAATGTCAGTGTATTGTAAGTTTTTATGGTTAGTTGTAAAATTTAATACTGTAAAATAATTTTAATAAAATCACCTTATCTTCATCATGTAAATTATATTCAGATACAATTTAAAAATTAAGTAAAATTTAACAGTAGAACCTCTGTAAGCCGAACTTCAAGTTTTTAAATCTTTTTGTGACGCATAGTCGGCAGATTATCCATATTGCAAAATAATACCGTGTGTAGCAGTCTTAAGAAAAATAACACGTACAGCCATGCTTTCACGTCAGTCACTGTCCGCGGACAGCGACGCACTAGCTAATTGGTTGAATGCACCTCCGCCCAGCGTCCCCCAAACCATCAGGAGGGCCAAGCTTACGGCGGTTTAACTATAGTTATTCTGTTTGTTAGTTTTACATATATTTTACTTCATACTAATAGTAATAGCTTCCCAGAGCTGAGAATATATGCAAAATCAACTGTAGAATAAAATCTTTCTTTGTATTGTAAAGTAAAAAGACTAGGGTTCTTGAAAAGTTAATAAAAAAAATTAAAACACTGCTACCTTTTTTCATCGAATCATTAAACTTGACGACTACTGTTAGACTGCCATCATACTAGTTGTGAAGATCTACACGTTTTCGCTATACCTTGTAAAGGACATGAGATCATAGCCTGGTTGTCTGTTAAAAATCACAGACTGCGATAAGACTGTCCATTGTTCTCCTTCTTAATACATTTCTAGATTGTACAATACTTTTTTGTATGCAACAAAGAATGTTTATCATAAAGTGTTAAAATAAAATAATAAACTTTCGCCCGCAGTAATTAGGCTCATAATAAGATGAATCTTCACGCTGTCATGCTACAGACCCTTACTCAATACGGTAGAGTTATTATAATACAAAAGGGAGAATAAGAAAGCAGAAATTCAACACATAATATCTTAAAGATTATCAAACTTACCGTCTTCTCATCTGCCCCCTCTAACACAAAAAAAAAAACATTTCTTATTTAATTAACGTTACGGTTTTCGTGCTAAAATGCACTTTAGTAGTAACTTATGTCATGTAGGTGTTTTCTAGGAGTGCGCTTCTTATACTAAATATCTATTATCCATTATGATCTTTAATCGAACACACATATGTATACATACATTAGCCAAATACAGATATGTACATATATATATATATATATATACATATTTCGACATCCAGCAATGCAGTTGTACTAGTGAGAGGAACAGAAACCGTGCAACTATACCAAAATAGATTACTTAGAAATACATTGCTGATATGCCGCTACAGGGTCTTCAACACACAGGGTATACCTGGTTCCCCGGCTACTGGTACCTGAAGACGGCGTGCGGTTTTTGGTCGGTTCGAGTCCGATATAATCACCCACTGGTGGGTGGTATCCGAGGGGAATCCCGCACGAAAAAAAGGGCCTTCAGCACATAGGACATACATATAGTTAGCCTTTAAAATTATGTTAAAATAGATTTCAAATAAAGAGTGAAAAACAAAATAGAAAGCATCTAACGTCAATAAAGTCATTTTTTTTACTGGAATTGTTATGATATGCATTGATTTGTATTATTGCAGTTCGCTGTTGGTTAATTACTATTTTCTACAATGTGCGTTATACTAGATAGAAGAAGAGGATGACGAAACATTGAAAAAAAACACAAATATATAATTAGTTTGTTTATTAAATGTTCGTATGTATAGTATCAATAAGTGAGTGATCAATTTTCTCTTTCCTAATTTCGTGTACTATTTCTTTTATAGATGCGCTTAGTATGCGAGGAGCGTTCAGAACTGACAGCCATAGTAGAATCACAACAGAGGGACATCACCGCGCTACAGCAAGACAGTGCACAGAATAAGGTAACATTTACAAGACATTTTACAAATACATTCGATTCAATCACAAATTTAATATTAAAAGACCTAAAATTGTACAATTCCAGAAGTGCCCATCATGCGGCGCGGCGTCTCCAGATGGTATCGAAGACGATGACCAGTCCTCAAAGCCTACATTCAGTGTGCGTGAACTTCGAGCCATACTCCACGAGCGGAACGAGTTGAAGCTGAAACTGAGCCGAGCTGAGGAACAGCTCAACGCGCTGCAGGTAGACCAACAACACGACAGGTATGTACCTATAAATTAGCCACTATATTCCAAGTAATATATAACACTAGCTGACCCTGCAAACGTTGTTTTGCTATTTACATTATTTAATTTTTTTTTTGAATTTCTTAAAATCCGTTCTTAGCTGACCTCTACTACTACTCTACTAAAAGAATATTCCTACCAAATTTCAAGTCTTTAGCTCTAAGGGTTCCAGAGATATCGTGATGAGTGACTATATACGTGGAAATCTCTTATATATATATATATATATATATATAGATTTTATAACTAAATTTAGACCGTTCTTCTGTAACCATTCAATCTAGCAAAGACGCATATAATACTATTAAAATTTAGGATTGCTTATATCAATATTGTTTGATTAAAAGGTAGCAAATCTTGGCCAGATTTGAGCCATGAGGTACTCTCGACATGAGAGTCATATCTATAAATTCAAAAATATTGAATATTGCATTTTGCGCCTGGTTTTGAACATGGAATGCAACATCAGATGCGTACTTACATTATTTTTATTTTACAGTAAATATTGTCGAATCCTTCTTCAAGTTCAGTCATTGAATGTTTAAGTTGTACTTCATATTAAGGAACATAATAATTTATATATTTTCTACTATACCAAGTATTTTTTTTTTGAGTGTATATTATTCTTAAATGCATAAAGCATTATGCAGTTTAATCCAGACGGCGACGGTACTAACTGACGATATTAAAACCCAGACAAGACGATTCGACTGCACGGATGGCCGCCGCCGCCGCACGCCGCTTCCTATTGCGTTGAGTGTTGTGGGTTCGATACCCACATGGGACACCACTTTGTGTGATCTACTTATTGTTGTTCTGAGTCTGGGTGTTGTGTCCATTTCATGTACGTTTGTGAAGTCCCCCGTGACACAGGATATAAATTCCTAATGCGGGAGTTGTCTTTTTAAAGAAAAAAAAGACGATAGTTTTATATAAATACGTATGTGTTTATTTATGTTAAAATAAATTAAAAAACAACAAAAATTGATGGATACCTATTTGCCATCAATGATTAAGTAAGCCATTATCAAAAAATTGTCACGAGCGACACTCAATTAAGTTTTGTACAGCTACTAAAGGCGGTATAATGTTTAAAATTACAGTGGTTCAGACACATCGCCGTCAGCCAGCACGGCAGCAGTAGACGACGAAGCGCCCGTCCAGGGTCCCTTGCCAGCTGAACCTGACGACGCGCCCTGGAAGAGGAGCAGTGGCATAAGGAAGTTGTACGTACACATCTACACAGAGCCAAATCTGATTAAATACTTACGCTTTCGTAAATCGTTCAGTTCAGTTAATTGAATTTGCACTTTAGAACTTGAAGATCTCCCACAGTTGCTAAATATGCATGATGCCAAAGTTCGTATTGCGTGAGTGAGGTTACTGAAAACCTAACCCCCCTCCCTCATTCCTGGGGAAGGGGGGACACGGAAAGGCGGTGCTCTTGGGTTGCAGGTGCCCATGGGCGACAATAGTTACTTAACATCAGGAGACCCGTCTGCTCGTTTGTATGCCACAAAAAAGTTGGATCATTTTAGATTCATAGTGTGATCCTTTAGAAGAAATTTGAATTTTTATGTATATCTTTGGTATTCAATTTTGGTTATTCCACCTACAAAGCGGATGTGTGCATGCATATTTGGACGTGTGGGCCTTTGCATTTAACATTTGCGTTTTGGCTAACATAGTTGCATGTGTCTCTCAATCCTTTATCATCTTTTCTGTATACACTAATGCATGTTCATCGTACATTGATTTCTCAATCACAAAAATTTGCTTGATTTCTGTAGCATGTGAATCGATGATGTTAAAGAAAAAATGTCTAAAACTGGGCTAATCAGCCTAATTCAGATCAGTCAATCTGTATGTCACAGACACATATTTTTCATTAATGTGCGTTGTCATAATGTTTCTTTGGTCCCTAGTTTTTATCCCTTTATACTGAAGTATAAAAGTTTGTGTGTCATTATAAGTTTCAAACACTTGATTATTTATTAATATTCTAGTATGAGGCTGATCTGAATTTTTTAGACTAAACACACGCCTAGACTATAGTCGATTCACGTTAAGAAAATAGTGACACATCGATCAAGCCTCTCCCCCTCCCTGCTTCTACCTGACCAATCAGGTGCCAAGAAATTACGTTCGTACGAAAGCTTTTAATCTGATTGGCTTGATCGATGCGTCACTCTTTTCTTAACGCGAATAGACTGTAGACATATACAGCAAAATTGAAACTCTATTTTAGTTAATCTGTGAATTGAATTATTATTGTACAACACGGTTCTATTGGGTGCTCTCATTACTGACTAGGATTTACACATATTATTATATATATATATTATTGTCCATGTTTATTTAGCCACTTAAAGTAAAGTTTGGTGGAAAGTGAATTATGTTGAATATGCTGATATCATGTCGGCTACAAATATTTTTCTTATAGCGTTTTGATCTGAAAGATATTTGGGCACCCCATTAGTTATTCAATTAGTTATGCTCGAATAAATAAGGGTGAATGGTTTTAACATAACATATTTTCATTAAATTACAGCACGTGTTTACAAAGCATTGTACTGCGTCTTAAGTAGGCAGGAAAGTGGAGAAGAACGGAGTAGAGTAGAGTGAACTGGAGTTTAGTGGAGATACGCACTATGTCGATTAAGGATTTTCAAGCAAGCGTAAAAAATAATAATATAGCTTTATATTAAGGCTATATATTAATCGCGAAAATGATTACAAAATGGTATCTTACCATTATTGTTTTTTTTTTCTTGGTAACCCGACATTTCAATCAAAATCGGTGTGGATTATCAATGTCATTCGACTTAAACTTCGGAAACCAAAAAAGATACATAGACGAATATATATGTCCCACTTATAGTTTTATAAGACCAAAATTAAATTAATAACCGTAGTATCAAACATCTCCGATCGGCTCGATCCCTTGGCGTTACGTAGAGATGTGGTTTTTTTCTGCATTCTCTATCGCATATATCATGGAGAGTGCTCCGAGGAATTGTTCGGACTAATACCAGCCGCAAATTTCCTCCATCGTTCCACACGGCAAAACTTTTAATTCTCATCACCTGGACAGTTGGCGCTCCACTACTGAGCGCTTTTCGAGATACTTTTTGCCCCGCATAACCAATCTGTGGAACGGGTTATCGTCTGCGGTATTTCCGGACCGATACGACCCTCAAACCTTCAAGAAAAGAGCGTACTCCTTCCTAAAAAGCCGGCAACGCGTTTGTGACTCCTGAGTTGCAGATGTTCATGGGGGCGATGGTTACTTTCCCGTGTACCGGTGACCCGTCTGCTCGTCTGCCGCCTCTAACATAAAAAAAAATATCATCAATCATCATCAACGGCCTTTAATAGTCCACTGCTGGATATAGGCCTCTCCTTGGAAAGGAGGTTTTGGCCTACTACACCACGCTGGCCAGACGGGTTGGTATAGGGTTTGTGTCAAGTTTTCCTTCTCTCTGCAGTGCTGGTGTCCTGCGTTGTTTTGCACCCTTAGTCGGCTCTTACGACACCCACACGGGATGAATTGGGGTAGTGACATTCCGTATTCTTAATCCGTCACTACTACGTCAGTATATATATACAGTATATATCTATAAAACAAAACTTAAATTATGTTTCTCTCTCTTTTCCCCAACTGTCAACTTTAAGATGCGGTAGAGCGCTTGCGGCCGCATAATACATTAATCATCACGTTACGTCATTATCAACATATCGTTAATTCATCACTACTAACGTGTCACAATCATCACTTGCCGTCTGCTCTCCACTTACACCGGGCTTTTATTTTGGTTCTGGTACATTTTTTTTTACTTACTTTACTAGAGCATGAAAACTAGTTTTAAGGAATATAAGGAACTAATTGGGTGTATTATTCAAAATTTTTCTTATTTTTAGGGTGTTTTTCTTTTAAATATATTGGAAAATGCCACCAGGGCCGAAAGAGATGGCGCACAGAAGACTGAGCACGCCGCACGGTGTTGCATGTATTGTTATTAAAATGTACACGATTCATGACGCTTCACGCTTGACCACCGTTCCCTTTCCCATTTTTTGTTATAACCATTTCACTTTATTTACGTCCAGCACTTATACTTCATTATTATTTTACTTACTTTCATTTTGGTTATTTTTCATACATCAATTTTGTTACTAATGTGGATATTTACAATATTTATTTCATAGTTAATAATTTTATTTTTTTATTGTGGTTTTTTCTGTGCCATAGATTTTGCTAAACGAAATCAGAGTATATACAAATATTAAAAACAACAGATATTTATACTGAATTAAATAATTATATAAGTTTTTTTCTAAATTATTTTTTTTTTTTTGCATGTAGCTTCATTTTTTTTTCACAAAGTTATAGAGTAGGTGTAGTTATATTTTTTGTTGTCCCCGTGCCCTATGTCCCATTATAAGTTAGTAACGAGTGGTGTGCGTGTGGGGGTAGGTTCAGGCTGGTGGCGCGGTCGTCGCGCTCGCCCCCGCCCCGCATCTCTTTCGGCCCTTGGTACTGACGACGATGATCGGTATGTTTCTAGGACTGCTCGGTGCCAAAGTGCTCACGATTGAACTCTAACCAGTTATAGAATGGTGTATTTATATATTTTAATATAATACTGATGTTACTATTTTTACGGGAGATAAAACCAAAGGTAACCTCTTAATATTAAGAAAATATGATGTCGACTTGTTGCCGGCGTAACGTAAATTCTTGTTCAAATATCCTAAATATTGTATATTTAATTTGCACAGTATAATATGTATCTTATTGTAACGCACGAGGGCTGCTTTTGCTCTAACCGCGTGCTGCACTTACTAGCAAAGTTGGACAACCTTTGCGATGAACGTTCGACAAGACTACGTTGTAAAAGGTCGTATGTGTAGTAAGTGTTGAATCACCAAATAAGACTGTAATCTCCCAGTCTAAAACTAGTTTTTGAAATACACATAAGTGGCAGGAGAGTTGACAGAGACAAATGACGTTAACTCCGCAAGTCTCGTCTTATATTACAAGTACAGTATTGAATTTATTACTGAGATTTTTTTAAATCAATATTTCATCATCATCATCAACAGCCTATACTAGTCCACTGCTAGACATAGGCCTCTCCTTAGAAAGGAGGTTTTGGCCTACTATACCACGCAAAATAAATCAATATTTATAGGTACCATTATTTTAGTAACTATTTATAATTTAACAATCGTTAGCACTTTTACATTAAGAGCGTCCTCTAACCAACACACATTTTGAATAACACTTAAATTGACATACTGAAAATGCGAATTTTAAGTGTTGTTTGAAATGTCACAACAAGCGCATCCAATATTATACTAACACTGTTTTGCTTCCACGAACGCTGAACACAGTAGATAAAATGATTTTTTGAACTGGTTTTTTTATATATACAGAAATACTACATAACAAAAAAAAACATTAATCCATCTAACAAAATATGTTTGAGTCTGATTCATGGAAATAAAAATAATATAAAAGTTTTTTTTTTTTAATTAAGAAAACGGGCGCCATTTTGTATAAAACATACTAATTTTTAATTAAAGTTACTAAGCGTAACTGTGAGATGAAACAAGGATATGGTCTACTTCAGGTGTTTCTACCGTTTCTTCTGCTCTCTTTCTCCCTTATAATTTTTATTTTAGGCGTACGCCAGTTGTGGCGGTCACCTTAAAATCCTTAACAGTTATAAATAATTTTCTATAGTATGATTATTAATCTATTTTACTAGACTAGCTAACGAATATTTATGTTTCACAAAAGTTACTGTATCAGAGAGTAACCTTTTGTTAAGAAATATAAAAAAAAAAACTGCTAAAAGTTGCATAAATATTGCTATAAGTCTGTAGTTGCCATAGTCTGCTAACATAATAAATGTATTTCTTTATTATAATCTAATCTCTCTTCTTATTTCTATTAATAATGATATTTCAAATCTTTAATAAAGACGTTGTGTGTAATAGTTTTTCAGTAGTAGTCTAGTTATTTGGTAACCAAATAAACTAATATGTCAGTTAGTAGAATATCAATAATTATCTCTTAGAAAAGATAATTATTGGTATTCTATAATAAACGGTTGGGCACCTTGAAGTCAGTTACGCTTTTTTACTAAGATAAAACATGATGGCGCCTGTTAGTGTGAATCGGATTCCAACTTTCTAAAGATACAATGTTAATATCACTCGTACTTGTATGTTCCAGTTTTCGCAAGCTCTTTGTTGAGTCTGATATCGCCGTGGGTGGGTTCCAGCGCCGTTCGCTGTCCTCGCTCGCTCGCCGCACGCCCCCTCCTCCTGCCGCCGCGGCCCCCACCCCTTCCGCGTAGGCACTCAATCCCTTCCTCTTCACACACGGACACTCCAACACACACACCGACCAAACATAGACGATACTCCGACAATAGAAACCCCGTTTCTAAACTAGACCTCAGACAAGAACTACAGGATCTAAACCTCGGAACTCAAGAGTTCGACAGCTGGCTGGGTGAAAAGTTTGATGAGAACGATGAGTTTAAAAATGAAGCTTACGACGATAGTTTTACGTGTGATATTCCCTTGCAGCGTTCCATCTCTCTAGACCGAGGTATTGATATATTCAGCCACTTTCAAAGAATCGGTTCGGAATGGTCTGGAAGCTTTCATTCTGTGTGGACGGTCGGGACTGAAGAATCAGAAGAAGGATATGGTACGATGACTGAAAGGTACAGGAGTTTTGATGATGTCCCAGCTTCTCTGGTCACGAGAAGCAGGCGAGCATCTACTGGTGGCCGTGACGCTACATCAGAGCGTAATATAGCCTTGACAGTATTGAAGGACAGTTGTAAGGGCATAGACACAAGCAAAGGTACTATGTCCCCACAGATAAGAATATTAAGTAGATGTAATACGGTTTCAGAGACTTTTGAAAGTATTAATGATAGCACAAATAATAAAGAAATCTTTGAAAGGGAACGACATGTGGTTAAAAGTCGAAAGAAACTCAAAGTGGTGATACCAAAGTTACAGGGAATTACTAAAAGTTGTCCCGTATCACCAAACATACAAAGACTTAGGAATTTCAGTTTCCGAAGTTCAGCAGAGGACTTCGTCAGTTCTTATATTTCTGACAATGATGTCGATGAGAACTTGGAGTTGAGTGAGCCGTTCTGTAAAAGTATTTCGGTAGACCAGGACTACGGAGATATTAAAAAGCAAAGAAGGTCTGGTTTACTAGCGATTAAGAGGGAATACAGTTTAAGGAAAGGAGTTCTGGTCAAACAAGAATTCCAAAACTGTGCAAAACTTGGAAGACGTAGGGGGTCATTAGAGTACGTCAGGGCGACCTCCGCTGGTCTTAAAGATAAGAATTCAGGAAAGTTACAAAAAGATGTAACGATTTCCTCCGACGGCGATTTGAGAATTGGACCGAAAATTATCATCTGTCGTGCTGGTTCGACCATAAATGGCAGTTTTGCCGAATCTAAGAAGCATTTGACTTCCAATTTAGTAGATATTAGTAGAAATTGTGACTGTCGCATATGTACTGAGGGTGACAAAGAATCTTACGTTCAGAAGGCTATGAATAAATTCTTTGTTAAGGTCGTTTCTTATAGGGATTATACAAGAAAATTATACTGGGAAACAAATAATTGGAATGAAAACGAAATGTACAATTGTTTTATGCATATTTTGAAATTGTTACTTGGTCTATGGTTGAGACATCATGACCATAATTAAATACTACATAAAACCATCCAACCTTCTTACGCAGACTTTTATTTTAAATATGGAATAGTTATGTTTAATATTGTTATAGTCATTATAGTTGATGACGTGTTTATTTATTTATTTGTTATTGCGACATTATAAGAATTGGATGATTTTATGCCATAGATGTTCAGATTTAAAATTAATTGTAGTGTTCTATAAAAAATGTCAGTTTCTTGTATATTTATCTGAATACTGTAAAAAAATTTACTTGAGGTATAAAACTATCTTTCCAATTAGTAAAAAATCTTTGAGAGGATTAAATTTTCGATTGAGAAGTGTAGAAATTGTTAAATTACATTCGAATAATGAGAATATAAAACTACTTATCAATCGTATAATTAACCTTTTAAGTACTGTTTGGCAAGTTTTTAAGTTATTATCTTTTTTACGGTAAAATAGATGCACTTCTGGACTGTGATTTATTTCAAATTATTTCTTTACATTTATATATATAGAGATGTTAACAACACTACATATATAATTGTAGAATTATTGTAAACGATTTGATGCGTATGTAGAGCCATATATATTTGTACTTTATGATATTATCTTTGTCAATTTTCATGTGACACATTTGTAGATTCTTTTTTAAGTCAAGAAATAGACTCTACTTTAAATGAACGTTCAGAAATTGCTGTAACTCAGCTGTATTAGGAGAATTACCGCGATTGCTAAATACGTGTCATACATACATAGTGTTGTGGTAGTGGTTACAAGGTTATGCAACCTCGTCGTAACTTAAAACAATTAAAAAAAAGTGTGCGTCTCGGGACGTCTAACAGAAGTGGCAACTAATCTAAGTTGAAATATTTAATATTAAAATTGTTTAACTTGAGAGAAGCTTAGGTTATTACTTAAACTTTATGTGAAGCGTCTGTCCGTAAACGGCTAGCGATATGGGCAAGAGTGAGAGACGAGGAGCCTGCCTACCGCTGCCGTATGCGTGAGAAAAAGGGAAACCAGACAGACTGGCGCCGTAACGCGTTACGTAACGAAGCGGTTTACCCTCCCATAAGAAGTTATCACTTCAAAATCCACAAAACTGAACTACAAAAGTTTATTACTAGAAATTTCTGATATTTTCTCGTATACCATCATGTCATATCATCAATGTAGTCAGAATCTCCACTGAGATGAGAAGAGTGTAATGTGTGAGAGAGACATCGAGAATGTGGTGCTTGACTAATTTTGTCTGTCTAACCAATCTTGTTGCGTAAACCCTTCCTTGAAACTGCATTCTAGTTCCTTCGTAGGTCCTAATAGTAGAAATTTTAGTTTCTTTGACTGGATGAGTGTGTGAATAACTTATTATGACTGTGTGTGTGTGTGTGTATGTGTGTATATACAGTAAACAGCGTTGGTCTTCCTCATTTTTCAATAGCATGACATTAGAAAAGAATTGGTCGCCGAACGCCATTGCCACGTATACATGACAGTGGTTTTTAAATGTTTATTAAAATTGCCAATAAAATTTAAAACAAAAAAAAATTATCGAACTTCGCTAAGCTTTTTCACAAGAAATGCACTTTACTACTAATTGCCATGAAAAAAGTATTTGCAATTTGCTAAATTTAAATAATAAGGGATCTGCTTATTTATGATTTTATTTTATGATTTTTTTAAACACAATTTTTAAGCTTAAACACCATTTCTAAAATACTATTAAAACCAAGGTCATGATACGTCTGGAGATATTTTGATTGCTTCATATTTTTATTAACAACAAACGAATAAACAAACTCGAAATATTAATACGAATGTAAAGAATTTTAAATGTTAACTTCGTCTTCTGTAGCCTGAGATATAAAAAACTTTAAAAAAATAAATAAAGAAAATCTTAGAATATTCTAGATATGCGGATACAGTTAAATGTTGAGGTTTGCTGTAATGTTATTTCTTAAAAAATATATTAAAGTAATGATTCTGGCTATGAACAATTAAAACAACAGATGGTTTAATTCCCGCTTTTATTGAATTTCAACGGTGTCCGCTAAAAAAGCAAAACAACAAAACAAAAAACGTGCTACATTGTGTATGTGTGAGTTTATATTAGTTGCGTGTGTTTGTGTAGACGTGTGTATGTGCGGACGTTCATGTATGTGTATGTGTGCGTTTCGGAGAATGCTGCAAGTTTTTTGTCTCTTTCTTTCGTATGTAATCGTCAATGTTACTTCGTAAGTTAATTTTGGTGTCTGTTCCATTATAGATCGTTCGTTTCTTCGGATAAATAAATGATATTTATTAACAGATGTATGTAAATACACATCTTGTTCGTTAGAGTCAGTGCCATTGGTCTATACAGGCCATATAACATATCCATTCGGTCTCGACATCGTAGGTTACGAACATTTTGTATTCGCTTATTAATATACACTTTAGGCCACATCACACTTCGCGTTCTAAAAAAGCGTATTTTTTTTATTTTTTTTATTGAGCATAATTCTAAAGTCATACATGGCCTAAATATGTTTGATATTATTAATTTTCTTTTCTAGCGAAAGTGTGTTACCAATTAAAAAATTGTCGAAAATTGAGGAAAGATTATATAGTTTGATTAAACATCTAGGTAAACTACAAACTGACTGTAAAACAATAAAAATAAAATAAAGATAATTTTTAAGATTTAACAAGTCACCAATAGGACACGGGAAAATTTAGACAAAAATTTAGGGAGTAGACAAAAAAGTTTGACAGGATATAAAAGAGTTAGTTTAGATACTAGACCAGTACGTTTGTATTGATAAGAAAATTCCCAGTTTATAGTATAAAAGACTTCCATATTTTTCGGTATTATGTGTAGAAAGAAAAAATGGTCGAATGACAAAAGGAACTAAGTGCCCAACCCCGGTAGTGGTATTTTTAATAAATATTAGTAGTCAGGCATGTCTTTTGGAACTATTTTTTTTAAATTAAAATTTAACGACAGTTGTTACTCTTACGTGCACACGAGAAACGAAATACCAGTCAGGTTTACATGTATGTGTTATTTCGGTAAATATATTATTAAACGTTCCAATACATTTGCAAATAATCATTGTTTGATAATTGCGTTATTAATTTCAATTTTTTTTTTTAATAATAACTTTTTATTGTATAAATGAGATTGTAGGTTTACACAATTTTACGTTTATTATGATGAGTTTGTGTTACAATTAGAAGTCTACAATAATATCGTGGTTGAGTGCTGTTTTCCCAGCTAGGCTACATAATAGCCTGTGTTAGGGATAATACAGTCCTGAACCCTCAGAAATGGTGGAAACCGGTGTAGCACGTGTTTTAATTTGTGTTAAATTTCTCTAGCAATAGTTCATTAAAATCACATGTACATGTACATACTACTGTCCATGTGTTTCGTTTGCTGTGTGTGGGTAAGAAGGGAAGAAGAAGAATATAAAATCGATCGTAGTCATAACTATGAACAATCGATTACCACTTGACTAATAATCGATATAGATAGTACTAGAAATCTATGGTGTGGAATTCATATCTATTGTTTACTGTTTATAACCTGAGTGTCTAATAGTAGTATTAATTATCGTATTAAGTGTGAATCTTAAATCATTAATATGTCTAGATGAAGTGTCGCGCAATAAAACAACTAGGGATGGAATAAAACTTCAATCATCTGTGATTAATCATATGATTTATAAATCATAGAATCATACCTGTGACTAGTTATAAAAACCACTGCGACTTATTATTATACTTATGGTAGCGCTAGACTCGCGAAAGGTCGTCGAAAATCTTTGATAAAAAGGATTTTTAATGGTTTTAATTGCATTTAAACCGACGGCGACGGCCCTGTTGGTCTAGTGGTTAGTGACCCTGACTGCTACGCCGGAGGTAGTGGCTTCAATTCCCACCCAAAACAAATATTGTGTTATGAGTACGGTCATTTATTCTGTGTCTGGGTGTAGTTATCTATAATATGTATGTATTTGGAAATATATAAGCATGTTTATCATAACACAGGCTCTGCCTAGTTTGGAATCAGACGGCCGTATGTGAGATGTGTGAGGTATATTTAAAAAAAAAACAAAAACATTTATCTTTGTATATGACCAAATCATAATCACAGGTGAAATCACTGTGATTAAAACCAATAATTCTTCACCTATCAATCAATTCATCCTATGAATATAATTTAAAAGTAGCAATAATTTTCATGCCTAAAAACAGCTCAAACAAACGGGCCTTCTTAATTATGCTGATTAGCGTGCAAATCAAGCGTTTATAGTGACAGCGACAACACAACTGACACACTTCGAACTTAGTAACCCTATTGAACTTAATTTTTTCGACACTCATCGCTTTGATATTCAAGACATATCAATGATTTAAAATATGAATGAAAAATATATTTAGGGAAGAAGAAAAAGCTTACATTGTAAGAAGAGTCAACTAAGATCAAGAAGGTCATATGATTGTTTCTTCTGAAACATGCCATTTTGAATTAATACCGATGGTAATAGATCGTATTGATGCACTAACATCTTCTGCGTCAGATAAATAATAATACTGTAGCAGTTTATTGTGTATTATACATTTCAATATCTTCGTGGACGTAATTCAATTAATTACAACTTGTAAAAATTAAAAAAAACTACTGGTTTCAAAGCAAGTTCCAGGTTACCATGTCGTGGAAATACCATCAAAGTAACAGTATACCAAATTTCAGATCAATCGGACCTGTGGGTTTTAGTGAGATCCTTTCATCACCTAGGAAGTGAGCTGATGATCTTCAAAATTCATAGCAAAGAACCATCTCGATCACATCGGTTTTAGAACAAAAAAATCCGCACCGAAATTGGTCCATCGGTTCGGGAGCTATGATGCCACAGACAGACATGCAGATACACAGGTTAAACTTAGAACACCCCTCGTTTGCCGTCGGGATTAAAAATGCATCAATAAATAAAACATTACATACTTAAATTTAACTTTGGCCACGCTGATACCTATAAAAA